CTGAACCAACCTCTTGCACAAAACTTCAGAGAAGAAACTTCTCCCCCACTTATTTCACACGTACCTCTGCAGACAACGAAAAGGAAACAATCAAGTACCGACAGTGTTTCACACACATGTCGCATACCAAAAGGGAGTAAACACATAAACAACCTGGCCGATAGACCGACCTGCTCTGATACCACTATTGTAACACCCCTTCTAAATAACCCGCGAATATATTAATTAAATCAGAGTAACATGGAAAACAGGGATATCACAATTCAGGATAAATATAAAAACCTCAAATCTACAGTTATCGTGCTTTACTGAAGGAATTATTAAGATAAATATTCAAATCAATATCATGTTCTACACAGCGGAAATGTCTCAAAACCGGAATAACTTCACTTCATAAGTATTCCCAACATAAATTAAACAATAGAGTATAAAATAAAACTCATCATTCAAACGTTTCCCCCAGTGTTACAACCTATCAGAGCACGACACTGACACGCGGACTTAAAGTAACATAGCTCTAGAGCCATCCTCACCAATTCCTGAGCTGCTAACTTTAATCTGAAATCATTAAATTAAGGGTGAGATTTCTCATAATTAACATGCATTATAAGCTTCTCAATCAACAGTATATCACAAACATATTATTTCACCCATTTAGCATAAACTCAGATTCAACACACAGTTCCAATCATACAAGTCATTATGCACAAATCAATAATCAACCAAAGAATTGTAACACTGGAAGACATCCTAACATGTTACAATTCCATGCAAACACAAATGCAGACACAATGCATGTTGTACCAATCACGTGACCAAGTCACCCAACACTGATCCATCACTCTCGGATACAGCAACCATCGATTCATCCATCACACTCGGACATGAATCCAGCCTAACCACCCATCATCTCTCGGGTATCGGTTAACGGCAATACAAGTCAAATTCTACACAATGGGAATTAACTTCACCAAAATAATGCATATGCATGCACATCACCAGCATGCAACATCAAATCAGTCTATGAAATACATCAATTTATCATAACTGAACCAAAACCAAAAACATGATATCATTATCTATCATACACACATCAAACAGCATAAACATGCACTTCATCCACAAGGACCTGATACAATCAATTATCATGGATACACCATTGCATATACACCAAATATGCACATAATAACAAACCGCATAATCGGAAAGTCAACATCAAATCAACGGAATATGATCACAACATAATTCCAAATAATGCCAAAACCAATATATCACATGATCACATCTCAATCATAATGGATAGCAGGCACAACACATAAGTATCAGTTCTCATTCACCAAATCAGAACAATTCACACACAATTCTACATCATTCTCAAAATACCAAAGTTTACAAAAATCGGGAATTCGACTCTTTTTAAAATAATTTTCATAAAATAATATTTTTCTTATTTCATAAGATAGTATTTTTAATTTAAGAAATACTGTTGAAAACGGCACTCAAATCGGACTTACGGTTTGAAAGTTATGAATTTTCAAAGTTTAATATTTTTCAAAAAGTTACGTTTCTGGAAAATGTACTGGAACCCGGTTCCTACCTATACAGGAACTGGTTCCTACGTTGAAAAACGCCAGTTTTTGTAAATTTTCACAGTGGAACCCGGTTCCTCCCCACTGGGAACCGGTTCCCACGACCTGCAGAGCCAAAAACTGCTATTTTGACAACATTTATTCATTCCAATCCCATCCAATTCATACCCATACGAATTATAACATTAGGAACACCAAAATGCAACCAATACACACCAATACAACATCAAAAATCATGTTTCCATCATTCCTATTAATTATCCATCACATTAATGGTTCCAATTCCTATAATCTGACACAATTAGGGACAAATTCTACAAACCTAGAAAATCCTAAATTGAGATTACTAACATGCTTAATCAATTCTATTGATCTCAAAATCTATAAGGCATATTAAATAATTGAAATCACCCCTTACCTCGCGATGATCCTTCGAATTCACGGCGTTTGGCTTTTTCCTCTCTTCTCTTCTCTTCTCCAATTTCACGTACAATGAGTTCTTTCCAAATAACCTCCTTTTTCTTTTCCTTTTTATTTTTCTCTTTATTTCCTTTTATTATTTGCCAAATAATAGAAATAAATTAGTCATTATTTAGTAGAGCTTTTTACTTCACACACCTCTAATTCAACCTTACACCCCCCGGTCTTCCTTTTTAATTCCATAATTAATTCATCCAGTTAATCCAAAATATTATTAATTAAGCCTTTAATTAATTTAATAATTAAATTCCTAATTATTTAACACTTGAATTAATTTGGGGTGTCACAGTTGTCGCCTCCGTCTACCATCGCAATATAATCATCTGATCTCCATTCCAGGTTCTCTGGTTATGTAAGCTCTTTATTTGTCTCCATTCTTATGTTGGATTTAGCTATGTTTCTGCTTAGAACGTATGCGGATATGGTGAACTGGTTAGAGTGAGTGTCACTCCGGTGACTGTTGGTGTTTGATGGTAGATGTGATTTTCAGATGCCACCGTCGATGAGAAGGTGTGATCGAGTTAGAGATTCATGTGTTTTCGACCGTTCTGGCGTCGTAGTTATAGCGACGAACAAACTTGTTGCTGATGGGACTTATGAGTTTCCATATGGACTCATGATTTTTCTGATAAACGTTAACCGTTTTCTGGGTTCATATGAGTTTTCAGATGAACCATATGAATTTTCTAATGAATCTTCAAACAGAAATCTGGGGCAATGTGTCAGGGATATTTTCCCCCTAAGGGCTTAAGGATTTTCCTGTTGAGGAGGATCTAAACCAGACGAGGAGGATTCTTTGCGTCTTTTTTTGTTGTTTGGGTAAGGGCTTTGGCTAAGGACGTTGCTCTCATTCCTTCGCACACCCTTTCACTCGATTACCATTGAAAGGGTGGATTTGATTTGATCGTCGAATTCACTTTTGTCCTCTGATTTTCAGATAAAATGGCTCATAACACTGAGGATGAGGACATGGTCGAGTAGAGTGATGCTTCTGAGGAATAGTGGATAGCCCCAGAGCCCCAGGAGATAGCCTCACTCTTCGCTTCCTTCCCCTGGGAGGAGTTTACCACTGTGGGAGAGGAGAGGGACTTATCAGACATCGTGGAAGATTAATCCTTTTCCCTAAAAAAGATGAACAAATTTTCTCGCCCTTTGAGACTAACTAATTTCTGATGTATGAGTTCGTCTTTAAAGAGATTGGGCTTCGGATGCCTTTTATGGATCTCCAGGTGGTAGTCTTTGCCCGCTTAGAATTGGCGCCCTCACGGCTTCATCCTAACTCTATAGCCTTTATTCATGCGTTCGAGATCGTTTGTGATTATCTCAAGATCGGGGCCACATATCCTCTTTTCTTTGCGTGTTTTCACCTCCAGCGACAGCTCTTGGATTGACTGTTTGATTGGGTTTCCTTGAAGCATATGAGGAAGTTGTTAATACGTTCTCAGAATCCATTTGCACATTCAAGGACATGTATTATATAGTCTTGCACGCGTCAAAGATGGTCATTGTGTTGTGACTGGTTTTTAAATCAGAGTCACCACCCTTAATTTTTATCCTAAGGAAGGGAACATAAAGGAATAACCCTAAAAGTTAGAGATTCTAGGTTTTCGGACTCGGTCTTAAATGAATGGAAGGTGTTAGGCACCCCTCATCTACCTTGTTTACAAGGATACTGGGTTTAGAAGCGCGAATTTTAGGAAATAGGATTTGGGAACTCGCCACGATTTTAGTCGTATGCCTACGTATCCTCTTAGGAGGAATCAAAGTCCCATTTCGTAGTTCGTAGTGTTGGTTGGTGTTTTTTATAGGATTACATATAATTGATTTCGAATTAACCTTGAACCTTGTTTGGGTTTAAAAAGTGTGTGATCGTAGATGCAGTTCGTAGTTAAATTTGATAGCAATTCTCCTTAATCCTTTATTTGAAAAATGATCTTGAATTTTGAATTATGTTAGTAGAAAAAATGATTTGTTGTTGGTTAGTTGTTTTAAGTTTGATTTGATTAAGACGTAGAGCAGAGGAGTCTGATATAGTCTCCTTCTTACGTGGTCATATATTGACCATATGTTCTCGATGGGAAGGATACAGAGGAAGTCTGATATGGTCTTCCTCACCACGTGGCCAGATATTGACCACGTGTCTTTCGCGGATGGAGTATTTGGTGAGGGGTATGGGTTTTAATATCTTTATAAAATATTGAATTAATTTAATTTAAAAATAAATGTTTAAAAATATGTACATGTTTGAGAATTATTTCCAAATTATGACAAGGACATTAAATTAATCAAGAAATTTAAATAAATATATATAAATTAATTAATTTGAATAGAAAAATATTTGAATTTATGTACAAATTTGTTATTTTGGTAACAAATGATTTTTATCGTGAAAATTTAATAATATATACAAACTTGCAGCGTAATCAACCTAGTTAAAAATCTAACCTGATTACTAAAATAAAGTTACTAATCAACATGATTAATTATCTAAGTAAATAATTAATTAATTAAAATTAAATAAAATTTAAGAGAGGTGTTAACTAGAAAAAGTAGGGTGTGAATGGAAAAATGGCCCAAGCCCCATATAAATCACTAACCTACTTCTAAAAATTAACCCTAATTAATTTCTACATTTATTTATATACTAAACAAAATGATAGTATAAAAGTAAAGAAAAATATATATAAATAATAACAAGAGAATACTGTAACGTGAGGGTAGCTTCTAATGTTCAAGTACCTTTTCAATTTAACTTTATAACCAGTCATAACATGACAAGTGGCGGCAATAAAAATAAATAAATAAATAAAATCATGGTCCAATATATCAGTAAATATGAAAGAAGATAAAACATACACATATATTTCCTCTTTTCACGATACCCACACGAGTCTCCTTACTATTCATCTTTCTTATTTCTCCCTCAAAATTTCAATCCAATGAATCATAAAACAAACACAATTCCAAGCAGGTCAAATACAAAGTTGCAAAAAAAAAGAGACACGTACCGGTTGGGGGAAAATGGAGGCGGTGGCGGTTGGATGGAGTTTGATGAGGTATGCGATGGAGGTGACGGATGAAGAGTGGATGATGAAGATGATGGTTAGGAGGTTGGAGGTTACAGGTTGATGGATCAGTGGGTTTTTCTGGATAGTGAGGGAACATAAGAGAGTAATCGCGGTGGACAAAGGGAGTATACGAAACTGAAGTTGATGGATATGATTCCGAAGGAGTTACTCCGGATCTGGATTTTCGCTTCCTTCTGTTTGTTTTTCTACTCCTTTTTCTGTAAAAAGTAGGATATAATGAACAGAAAAAAATGATGATGGTTTAATTGGTAGTGTGTTGAATAGTGAGGATTTGTAGCAAAATTTTGAAGGTTGAGTGTATCGTGAATATATACAGTAAATTGTATTCTTAAAAAAATGTGAAACAAAAAGGTAATAAAAAAAATAGGATTCGTTTCTAGCGTTAGTTATAGAAAAGGGCTAAAATGCGACTGTATACTTAAATGTTAGTAGTTAATGAATGAGAAAAACTAGTATATGAAATATAAATTTTGAAAGAAAGAAAATAAATACATCATAGAAGATGAATTATACGACTGAAAATTAAATAAAATAGGGAGGTGGCCTCATGTTAAATTAATTCATACACATATTTGTCTAACGATTAATTTCCCAAAGTGTGAATGAAATTCGTGAACTGTGAGAATCGTGTTGTTGGGGAGATTGTTCTTAGGCTGTTGTCTGATATAGTCAACAACTCTAGAATTCTATGTGTTTGTGAATGATTGTTGATATTTCTGGATGAATTATTGGTGACCAAATTAGGACAATGAGGATACTTATTTATAGAGTGGAAATTAGGTTAAACCCCCCAAAAAGGAAACTATCCAATATCTAAAGTTCAAATTAGATTTTATTTATTTATAAGTTATTTTGACTATTTTTTAAATAAAATAAATATTTTAATAAAATATAATATTTTTAAAATATAATAAATAAATACGAAAATAATAATTTAATAATAAAAAAATATGATTTTTGTGGTTAAAAAATGAAAATAAAGTTAGTAACAATAAACAACAAACAACAAACAACAAACAACAAAAATATCCAAAATGCACCAAGTGAGATTTGAACCCGTGACCTTCTACTTGTCCGTCTTTCTCTCTTATCAACTGTGCTATATTACTTATTGGAAAGTAAAAAGCCAATTGAAAGTATATGACAGCAAACAATTATTTTCTATTTTTACAAATAATTATTATATTTTCAAACAGACTTGAAAACAAATTTTTATTAAAAAACCTTAGAATGTTAATATAATTAAATCCAAGGAATTTTATACTCTGTAAAACCCAAGTTCGAAAATAAATTTGACGGTAGCACTAAGACGGACAGATTTGAGGTATGACACATTGTATCCTCGTTCAGCTAAGAGGTTATGACAGATGACGATGTGAATCTCCTCCTCAGTGAGGACCACAGGAAGATGAGGCATTATGTTCAGAAATTCAGTTTCTCTTGGAGTCGAGATCACTTCGACCGGTATTACCGAGCAATACCTTATCCGACTGAACTAATTGGAAGAGGAGGATCAAGCTAGCTATAACAAGCTCGTGACCTTTGTCAATGGTTGTGTCCCTGCCCAGTGCGTGACTAAGGGCGGAGACATTATTCTTGATGATGATGGGGAGCCTATGCTGGAGGCTCGACTTATTAATACCAAGGGGCTCCTCGAGCGTGACACTCGTGAGGATGTTCTAGCACTCTTAGGTAGTCGTTTATATTGTTGATTTGTTTGTGTTTTTCTTCCTCGTTTTACTGATTTATGATTGTTGCTTGTTGCAAGTGAAATGTTTAATATTCAAGAGTGCACGGTCAAGATGGAAGCATCCAACAAAGCAAGGCAGTTGAAGAAACCCCAAATTCATAAGAGTTGTTTAGGTGGTGTCGTGCCTCCGACCCAGTCTGGCTCGGGGACTTCCTCTTCAACTCTGGTCGGCGAGCAGACTTCTCCCAAGCAGGTGACTTCGGCTAAGAAATGAGTGTGGATAGGTACGAGCTGCCTCCTTTCTTTCTAGAAAGGGGTTATTTTGAGGTTGGTCCTTCCTTGGCAGTTCTATAGGCAGAATCCTTACACCTAGAGGGCCTTAATCAATTGAGCAAGAGGAAGACCTTGGCCCAGGACGCTGCTATAATAATGAGGGTCCTGAAAATGGTGGTGGTTTACTCCGAGGAGGGGACTTCGTCGTTCAAGGAGGTGAGGGAAGCTCGAGTTATCAACGTGGCTCTCAAGGAGAGGGTAGCCAAGCTGAAGTCTGAGAAAGAGATGTTGGAGGGGAAAAAGGATGAGCTAGACAAGCTGACCAAGGATGTGTCTCACATGAAAAATGTCCATGCTATAGATAAGAAGAAGCTCGAGAACAAGATTGTTGCATTGGAAGCTGATGCGGCACCGACTGAGGACGAGAGCGAGGATTTGAAAACCTTGAAGACTCGTGCCGAGCTCATTGCCAGTATTTGAGTCCTCGAGAAGGACTATTTGGCTGCCGAGGAGGCATGTTTTAACAATGTGGTATACTCTCTTTATCTCACTAGCACATCACTTATTCGTTTACGGTACCCTTAAGTGCTGATTTTTCTTTATTTAGATACTCTGATTATGATTTTCTTGGTTGCAAATTAGATCAAAAAAATACTAGTGGTACATGTCACTCTCTTGAGAACTCGCTTTTCTCCTAGCATAGAAAGAAACAAGCAATTGTTGTATTATTCATACCTGAAACAGAACACATTGCTACAATAGTTATTTTGCACAAGTTATTTAGATGAAACAACAATTAAGTGATTCTAAATTTAATCTTGGAACTTTCCCAATAAGATATGACAACACTAGCGCCATAAACTTCACTAAGAATATGATACTTCACTCTCAAACGAAACACATTAAAATCAGCCACCATTTTATCCTTATTATTCTCTTCTTTCTCAACGTGGTATTTGTGTTTCAAGTATTTTTTATTATCTCTTTATGTCTTTTATGCTTTTTGATAATGATAAAGGGGGAGAAGTATACTCTATTTATCTTACTAGCATATCACTTATTTGTTTACGGTAGCCTAAAGGGGCTGATTTTTCTTTATTTAGATACTCTGATTATAATTTTCTTAGTTGTAAATTGGATAAAAAAAGTACTAGTGATACATGTCACTCTCTTGAGAACTCGCTTTTCTCCTAGCATAGAAAGAAACAAGCAATTGTTGCATTATCCATACCTGAAATATAATACATTGCTACAATAGTTATTTTGCACAAGTTATTTAGATGAAACAACAATTAAGTGATTACAAATTTAATCTAAGAACTTTCCCAATAAGATATGACAACACTAGCGCCATAAACCTACCTAAGAATATGATATTTCACTCTCAAATGAAACACATTAAAATCAGCCACCATTTTTATCCTTATTATTCTCTTCTTTCTTAATGTGATATTTGTGTTTCGAGTATTTTTTTTATTATCTCTTTATGTCTTTTATTCTTTTTGATAATGATAAAGAGGGAGAAGTATACTCTTAGGGGAAGTATGATATACTCTATTTATCTCACTAGCACATCACTTATTCGTTTACGGTAGCCTAAAGAGGATGATTTTGATTTATTTAGATACTCTGATTATGATTTTCTTGGCTGTGAATTGGATCAAAAAAGTACTAGTGATACATGTCACTCTCTTGGGAACTCGCTTTTATCCTAGCATAAAAAGAAACAAGCAATTGTTGCATTATCCATACCTGAAATCGAATACATTGCTACAATAGTTATTTTGCACAAGTTATTTAGATGAAACAACAGTTAAGTGTTTACAAATTTAATCTCGAAACTTTCCCAATAAGATATGACAACACTAGCGCCATAAACCTCACAAAGAATATGATACTTCACTCTCAAACGAAACACATTAAAACCAGACACTATTTTTATCATTATTATTCTATTCTTTCTCAACGTGGTATTTGTGTTTCAATTATTGTTTGTTATCTCTTTATGTCTTTTATGCTTTTGATAATGACAAAGAGGGAAAAATATACTCTTAGGGGAAGTATGATATACTCTATTTATCTCACTAATCACGTATTCGTTTACGGTAGCCTAAAGAGACTGATTTTGCTTTATTTAAATACTCTGATTCTAATTTTCTTGGCTGTAAATTGAATCATAAAAGTACTAGTGGTACATGTCACTCTCTTGGGAACTCACTTTTCTTTTAGCATAGAAAGAAACATGCAATTGTTGTATTATCCATAGCTGAAACATAATACATTGCTATGGTAGTTATTCTGCACAAGTTATTTAGATGAAACAACAGTTAAGTGATTACAAATTTAATCTCAGAACTTTCCCAATAATATATGACAACACTAGCACCATAAACCTCAGTAAGAATCTGATACTTCACTCTCATACGAAACACATTAAAACTAGGATAATCTCTAATGCGATCTCTCTCACCTTATCTCTTTATTTATCTTATATTTATCTTTTTTGATGCATATTCTCTATTTTATTCTTTCTTAAAATAAACCTTTTTAAAATCAATCATTTTTCTAATTTTTTTAAAATCTGAATATCACAATTCATTATCCTCTTGTGTTTGGAGTCACTTGTTCAACATTCTTGTCACTAATTTGTAATATCTTAACGCAACTCTGAAAGTATAGTGAATTAAAGAGTCACTAATATAAAATACATCTATGATAACATATTATTATCCTGACTATTCACTCAACCAAAGTAATAGCTCTTATTTAAGTGCCTGCATTTTTATTTTATTTTATTAAAAGACTTTTCATTACGGTACATACTAATAACCATGATGATATGTTAAGGTTTATAGACTTCGAATCCCAGCACAAACAATTTTCATTTTGTTTTACAAAATGGGCGTGTCACTTATATCTTACATTTATGTTAAAATTAAAATGCCTTTCACCACAATTAAAATAGAAATTATTGCAAAATGTGCCTACATTTCATCACGGCCATTTTTATCAATCGTGGTGAAAAGTATAACATATATTTAAGCGAAAGCTCTCTCGTTCAAGACAGAACCATAATATCTCTCATAAAACAAAACTCTAACATCTCTCACGCC